GTACTCGCCGAGTACTCACTGAGTAGATAACCCAGCGTAGTGGGAAAGAGAAAATGTGTGTAGTGTAAGTAAGAAGTAATGGTATAAGGGCTACTGAGTATTTAATATTAAAAATTTACTAAAAATAAAAGTGTAAATTTTATTTCGACCTACCCTAAAAGAAAACTGTGAAGTTTATTTTAGACCAGAGGTAATACATCACTACATGATAAGAAATAGGGAGTATTTAATATGCTTTGTTCAAGTTGTGAGAGAACTTTAAGGTTATTTATACATTTAATTTTATTGTCACTAAGACCATTAGGAGGCATGTAAGGAAACTATAAGTCGTGTTCATTGTTTCTTACCAGTAATTCTTAATACGGTGTAATTTGTATTACTATTTTTTCTAATTACCTTTGTTTTTTCTTGAACGTGTATTTGGGAGCACGGTTTTGGAGCAATGGTGATTGTTGGTTTACTCATTCTTGTGTCATTTAGGATTGCTCATGATCATTTGATGGTATTCATGCATTTAATATAATTTACTCCCATATTAAATAGGTGAACGTTACTATATTTGCTAGATTTTTATCAAACGAGCGATATTTTTTCCCTAAACTGGCTGATCATTTTGATCTCGTTTGGTTTCACAATAATTGGTTTAGTATATATAGTAAAGATTTGTTTACCAAATAAGGAAATAAGGAAGTGTGTCAATCTTTTTGAAACATCCAAAAAATGAAAGTGTGTCAAAGAAACTGAAACGGAGGGAGTACTTATATTCAAAATGTACTTTATTACGGAGTACTAAAATAAAAAAGATATATATGGGAAAACGTTAATATATATATACGGAGTATATAATAGCTAAAATAGTCTTATTTATATTAAAAGAAAAAAATCTTATTTCAAACATTTAGTCAAGGAAAAATGACATGTATATTACTAACATATTTTCCCAAGACAAAAATATGACTATTTATGTTTTTGGATAAAACAATATCACTAATCATTGTGTACGAGTAACTGGATAATAGTCATTGTAGTATATTTCAAAGTCACAAGTTACTAAGAACTAGTGATCATGGATATGTACCTTTTTGAAAAATTATAAAATAAGTCATTTTTTAATTTAATTTAGAAATATTCATGGGAAGAGTCCTTTAGTCAATCTAGCCAAAAAATACCTACAACCATATTTATTTTTATTACACAATTTAGTGCATAAAATAAAATTAAAAAATGGTAAAAAACCAACGATAAGGCTGATAAGAACGAGAAAATGATTTACCAAACAAGCACTTAGCTTTTTCCATGTGGTCTTTTTTCTATAATAATAAAAATATACCTATACAACCAAAATTGATTTGCAATTTGACTTTTCTCCCTCAACATAGTCCTCGTTTATTCTTTGATATTGAGTATCAATTAATTATGATATTCGTATTTGATTTGTGTGCTATTATGACACTTTTAGAGTGGACTCTAAATATATTAATTATGTTTATTTATATTTGTTCATATGTTGACATGAAAGATTTTAATTTGTTTGATCTTCAATCAACCTTAAAAAAATTGCACGTATTTTTGAATCAAAACAATTATTTGATTCAGTTATTTTAGCAATTTGAATGGATATCCAATTCTATTCTTGTCAAAGGACTTCGGATAAATTAGCTATGCTATATTTCATTGAGAAATTAGATATGAATATATTATTGTCTTCTTAATCGGTAATGTAGGGACATGCTAGGGCACTAGAAGGGATACAAAGAAGGCTTCAGCTGAATGTAATAATGGGGGCTATTCTAGTTGTAATTAATGTGTGTGTTACAGTTGGGTGTGTCTTAGGGTTCACATGTTGGAGCATAACAGTGACCAGAAGAGAGATGTGCACACAAGCAAAAAACATCAGATATAAGTATGCCCTCCAGGAAGCCGAGAGGAAGAGCATGAGAAAGATGGATGCGGTTGCCAGTGTGAGCCATGAGGTCCGCACCGCTCTTGCTGGCATCACCGGTTTGATTCATATGTGCCGAGCTGAGGCCGCTCCTCGTTCTTCCTTGGATAATAATCTCAAACACATGGAGTCTTGCACAAGTGATCTTGAAAGTATGTGAACTTCCTAGGAATTAATTTGGAATGTCTCATTTGGGTTTGTTACTCTTATTATGCAGGTGGCTAAAAAAGAAAAGGTTTGGTTAAGATTTAAATAGAAATGATTCATGTTATAGATGACACATTGCTATCCTCTAAAGAGAACTCATATAATAATTTTGGTGTAGTCCAAAAATATAAACAAGGGTTTTTCGGACAGTCCAAACTATAAACAAGAAGTTTAATTTATAAATGAGGGATTACTATGTAAAGATGTCTATTATTATTACTATTGTTGTTGTTGTTTCTTCTTCTGCTACTACTATTATAACATAATGAGTCTATTGTATGCAGGCTTGTTGAATTCAATTCTTGACAATACAAATATTGAATCAGGGATGATGCAAGTTGAAGAAGAAGAATTTGATTTACAAGAGCTGCTGGAAGATGTAGTGGATCTATATTATCCCGTGGGCATGGAGAAGGGAGTGGATGTGATATTGGATCCATGTGACGGGTCAGTTGAGAATTTTAGGGATGTCAAGGGGGACAGAGGCAAACTCAAGCAGATTTTGTGTAATTTATTGTACAACTCCATCAAATTCACAGGTGAAGGTTATGTTTCCCTTCGTGTTCGGGCAATAGAAAACCATGCTACTAGTGACCACGACCATGATGGTGTTCAACTTGGCTCTTCATGGAGTTATGCATCTCGCCTCCTTTTTGGAGGTGTTGGTCAAGATAAAGCAAAAGCACAAACGAGGCTCAAAGACAATTATGATGTGGGTATATATTTGATGTGGTTGATACAGGGAGAGGTATTCCAAAGGAGAAACAAAAGTTTGTGTTTGAAAATTATGTTCAGATCAAAGAAAGGGGTGCCAACAGTAATGGACATCTAGGTCATGGTTTGGGGCTTGGCATAGTTCGATCTCTAGTCTGTTTGATAGGCGGGGAAATTGGAATCGTGGATAAGGAAATCGGGGAAAGGGGGACTTGTTTTAGGTTTAACCTATTCTTCAAAAATAATCCTCCCAATAATCTAAGGCAAGATATAGAGTCTCAATGTGGCTCTCGCTCCCACCCTCATAACTATTATCAGTGTTCATCATCATCAAAAGTGCAAGGTCAATCATCACAAGTTGTTCTCTTCATTCAAAGCGAAGAAAGGAGTGATGTTGTAAGAAGATTCCTAGAATTTCAAGGGGTGAAGGTAAGTGTCATTAATAAGGGATATACACAGCTAAGCCAAACACTAAAGAAGATCAGGCGTAAGCTTTCCACTTATTCCAAAAATGGCCTCCCCACAACCACTCCTTCCTCTCACTCATCGTCATCTTCTTCACTTTCATCCTCAAGATCAAGAGCAAAGGAAGCGGCTACCTGTGCTTCAGATGGAACACAAGACATTGTGGTGTTGATAATAATAGACAAGAGAGCGGGGTCATTCTTAAAAGTGAGTCGAGCAATTGCTGAATTCCAGAGGGCAGCTCCATGACACCTCAACTGATCTTGTCTTGTCCAAGCCATTGCATGCATGGCTCACGGTTACCTCAAATCTTGGAGCTTCTACCCGAATTTGCACCAACCAAATGTACCAGTTGAGTATCCATGTGTAATTTATGCTTCCTTTTAATTTAAGCTTCCTATTTAATCAGTTTCCCATTCATAATTCATTTTTTCAGGAGAGATACAAGTGGCAATCGACAAAGAGTGTGAAGATGATGAGTGTGGGCCAAGCACAAGAGGTGGCCTTGCTGCCCTCAACAAGCCATTGCAAGGGAAAAGACTTTTGATAGTTGAAGATACTCCACTGCAACGCAAAATATGCATGGCGGTAGTTTCCCAACTAGGTGCTCAAAGTTACACATGTGACAATGGTGCAGATTGCAGAAGCTATACGACTTGTGTATGAGGCTCTACAAAGTAAGGATACTCAATTGACCTTTGATTACATCATAATGGATTGTGAGGTAAAAATTGCTCACTCCATTTTTGAAGTTCCATACATATATTACTCAAGTCCCAATAATAGTAATAGATAGGGGTGGGGCGGTCCGGTCCAATATTTTACCGAACCCGTACCCGGACCGCTACTATTGAAACGGTTCAATTCGGTTCGGTCTTAGACCTAACCCCGTTCGGTTTCATTTTCAAACGGTCCGGTACCATGCCATACCAATGCCAAACAATGCCACTTTTTCGATAAATTAAAACTTAGTCATCATCCAAAAATCCACACAATTATCAATTTTCATACTACCTCCGTCCTAAAAAACTTTATCATTTCAAAAAATTTGAACCATGATTTTGATTAGTATAGAGTATTATGGAAGTTATAAATTTTATACTTTTATGAAAGTATTTTTAACAAAGAACGTTTTCATATAATTTTTATATTATAAATAATTCTCAATAAAAAATATAATTGGTCAAAGTTTTGAAAATGGAAAAGTTTTTTGGGACAGAGGTAGTATTATATAGTTAATGAATATCTTATAAACTATAATAGTACAAAACATAAATAACTAACAATAACATAGTTAATGAATTTCATATAATACTATTCATTTTTACTGATCCGGTTAACTAGCAATAAGCAAAGTGCAAATGAGTAATCAAAGTAATTAATGATAATATGGTATACATGTATATATAATTATAAAATTATACGGAGTATAAATTAATAAAATTATAATTCGGTTCGGTTCGGTCCGGTACCGATTCTCATTTTATGAGAACCGGTCATGGCATGGTTTGGAATCGGTCCAGTCCGGTTCGGGACAAAAATTTTTAGAACCGTTTCAAATCCTGTTTTTCGATCCGGTACCATACCGGTCCGGTTCGATGCCATGTCGGTTCGATTATTTTGCCCACCCCTAGTAATAGATTGAAATAAAACTTTTAGGATGAGGCCGTGAGGGTGGTAGTATTAAATCATACAGAAAAAAGTACCAATATACTCTATTTCATCAGTGATGGTAATTAATTAACATTTGTATTGATTAGATGCCAGTAATGAACGGATTTGAGGCGACAAGGCGCATAAAGGAAAAGGGGGAAGCAATGGGCATATGGATTCCCATCATCGCTCTAACAGCACATACAAGAAGGGAGGAGATGGAGAAAATCACTGGCGCCGGAATGGATTACTACTTAGCAAAGCCCCTCACAGCTGCGAACCTTCTAAGAGAGCTATACAGTACTTGGACAAATAAAAAATCTAACAAAACCCCTTCTAATTTCTGCATCTTTCACTTTTATATATGATGTTGAAACTCATGGTTCAGTCGTATTAGTTACTATGGTAATACATAAATGGCCTAAGAAAGTCCACGCTGAGAATACTTTGTGCAGATGTAGCGTGGAAGAGAAGAATCAAAATGTAGGGGCGGGGAAAACTGGTGTGAGTAATGATAGTTGGCTTGCCACCCGGGTATGAATTCATTTAAGAATAGTGAGGTCGGAATAGGCTTTCCTTTGTACTGCCAAAAGAGAGTCTGGAGATGAATTTTAATAATCTCACAGTTTTGATAAGTGTTTGGCAAACCAATCTGACAGTCGCCTCATTTTTACTGCCACTGCTGTATTTTTCCCAAAATAATCCATAGCATTCCCGAGCATCACTCTGACATCATGCTTCAAAGCCTCCAAGCTTCTATAATAGTTATTTTCCAATCTTGAGTGGATTATGTCAGGGGATAACGGAACAGGAAACCTGTAATCATCATTTTTCATTACACTCGTCGATATTTTCATTCAACTTGTTTGTATTGACATTCATAAAAATTAAAAAAACACAAAAAGAATACCTGTTTATAAATTCCACTTTACATGCTACATTTATTAACTGCAGAATCCCGTTATAATCCTGAAACATCCAAAGATATTCAGTTTTATAACTTTATTACTCCCTTCGTCTCGAATTGAATTGCAAACTTTGACCGGCACAAGGATTAAGGAATGACAATAAATTATGCTTGTTTTTTACACTTTTGCTCATCTTTTTAAAAGTAGATGCCTTTAAGTTAGTGGGGAAAAAGTAAAAGTAAGGGTAAATTTATCACTTTATTCTTATTTACATACCTAAAATAGAAAGTGGAAAACCATTTTGGGACAACCAAAATAGGAAATTTTGCAAATCAAACTGGGATGGAGGGAGTATTTTTTAAGTTCAATCAAAATCATGTGTCAATTACTCGTAGTAGTTAGGGGGAGAAGGGGGGAGACCTGATTAGTGTTTGCACGCTGCAGCAATTTATTGAGAGCATTTAGCATCCTGTTGTTGCTTTCGGAGTCAATATGAGGATGCTCCCAAAGGGAATATGGATCTTGCAGTTCCCAGGGGCTGTGAAGATGTGTATCACTTTGGTCACTATTGTACTTAACAACATACCTTTCCCATGGGCTCCCTGGGAACTCGCTTGACTTGTCCTCCACAGATACTATCATACCATCCCACCATCTCCCACCATTTTCCTCACTCTCATCCCTCCACCAGACTTGACACTCCTCTCCACACATCCAACATCTCTTTATTGCCGCATCATACCGTGATTTTTCAACAATAAAGTCTGGGAAATCATTTAGTTCTGGCACTGTAAGTTTAAATTTCTGGTCAAGTACACTGGAAGATGCATCGATGAATTTAAGTGTGATTTTACAACAACTCTCTCCAGACCCAGGGACTGTTGCATAATTAAGTTCTTCAACCAAACAGACTTCCACAGCTCTAATTCTCGCCCCATGCTTTTCCCAAGGGCAACGCTCCAATGATTGGCTGGACTCCACATATTCTTGATGGCCCTATTGATCACAGAAAATAATTTTAAGTTACCTAAACACTAATAGGGAAAGAGGATAAAACTATGGAAAGTGGTTATTTATGATTATATTTACCTTTCGCGTCAAATGCATAAATGATACCTTAACTATTGGTAATGTTGCATTTTGGTACCTTAACTCTTAAATGAATCAAAACGGTACCTTAATTATACATAAATGTTTCGAATTGAGATTTCATTCAAATTTCCGATAAAAAAATCACACGTGGTAGTCAGAATTCTATGCGTAAAGTCTACTTTACCTTAGTTTTGTCCATATGATCACTATAGGGTGACTCTACACATAGAATTTTGATCGTCATCAAGGATTTTTTGGTCTGAAATTTGAATAAAATCTCAAATTGAAACATTTATGTATAGTTAAGGTACCGTTTTGATTCATTTAAGAGTTAAGGTACAAAAATGTAACATTACCAATAGTTAAGGTACCATATATGCATTTGACCCTTTACCTTTCAAAAGAAAGAAAAATCAAAATTGATGAGAACTTTTTTTTTATCATAAAAGAGCGGCCGTTATATTAAAATCGAGAACACATACAAGATAACCTTCAGACAGAATTTACGGATCAAATCGTGAACCCTAGGAGTAGACTTAGAGTCAGCCACCTCATACAAAACAACATGACTCACTAAACCTGAAACGGGCAAATTTATTTAGGCCTAAAACGATTGGAACCGAAACCCTACCTATCAAAAGAACTCCAAAAATCCAAACATTCAAACCAAATCTACTCGAACTAAAACAGAAACAAGTGCTCCTAATGAAAAAAATACTGAAATAAAATCTTTCCACAAAGCTCTTCCTGATATGGAGATGGTTCCGGAGGAAGACGAGCTCTTACAATATGGGTGAATACCAACTCCACCACCGTCGGAATGACCGACCAAGGCTTCACGATCCCGCCTCAATACAACCTCCCAGCCGCACCTTGTTCATCCGCCAACGTTATCTCCTCCGACGTAGTTGCAATCCCAAGCGTTATAACACTTAAAATCAATATAATCTGCCGCTCCAACCCCATATTGATAGGGGCGACGGAAAATCTTAACCCCTACAAAGAGGGGAGACAGCCGCTAGGGTTCCTCTGAGTTGAATTGATGAGAACTTTAAAATCTTAGTCTTTATAGGAATGAATAAATAAAATGCGCATGGAAAATATTAAATTCATTGAGTTTGAACCATTTTTTTATTTTCTCCTAATGTTATTCCCTTACAGATTTCTACTCTAGTTTACACCCTGTTTTCTTTCCCTAGCATTTTGGAGTTCAAGACAGACCCTAAGTGGTTAACAGCATTGTTAAGATGCAAATAGTATTATTAACCAACAGATGACATACCTGTCTTAAGTATGCCACTTGATCACCCAGCTGAGGTATGTAGCGGTACCCCTCCTCCTTCTTCGACAACAACAACCAGTCTGATTTTCTTGGTACATTGGTGAAGTTTTTGGGGTAAACCTTTTCATCATTGTAAGAAACTTCTCCCTTACTCCTAGAAGTTGAAACTCCTGTTGATGGGGAAATATCAACTGCTCTCTTGGAAAGGTTAACAAGATTAATATCCCTTGAAGTTGCCTTCAGTCTTAATGACCTCTTTCTCCTTGTTGCATCGGTTGCAGCATCAGGATAATCCATCAACATGTTTCTGTAATGGAAACTTTCCTTGGAAGTATCTTCACAGACTCCACCTTCATCAGATGACTTTCTATTACACTCGCTTCCATTAATTGTATTATCCATATCTAGGTTTACACGCTGCAAACAATTTGGTTCTTTGATGCCATTACCAGTTTTAGAGACTGCTAGAAATCTGTTACTCTCTCTGCTGGATCTTGAATCATCCTCACAAGAAACATCCACAGGTGTGGTAAATGCACGCACCACGGGAGGTCCCACCTCCCCAGAAATCATCCTTGATTTGATTTTGAGGATGGTTGGCTTCAATTTAGGTTTCCCATTAACTTGAGAAAAATTGTCAGAGGTGTTAATATTATTAACTCCGGTTTTAATATGTGCCTGATTATAAGAGCATCCAGAATCACCCATTCTCTTCTTAAATTGTTCCATTGCCAACGTATTCTCCTGATCGTGAACTACAAAATCGGAGGGTGCTTTTCCATAGGGACTCTCAAGCCTGATATGATTTTCCATATCTACTCCAGGCCCGATGAATGAATCAGCATGTGCCAAATCAGGAGAATTTGGCACATGCTGAGTGCTTGCTTGGACATCTCCACGCCCAGTCACAGGGTCCTGGTAACTTTCAGACATTTTTATATCCCCAGACAATATATCAAGGACTTGAATCTCAGTACATGCAGCTCTTTTCTTGTTTTTGGATGAATCGGAACCGATTCCATATGAGGAAGCTGATCCTGGATCCATGGACGTCTTGTTACTTTGATTATCTTCAAAAAAAACTCCTCCAGCTCTTAAGGAAGAAGGGACTGAAAAGGTCTGATTGTCAGAATCTGAGTTGGAGAGTCTCAAAGGCACAGGCTTTTTGGCATCACGAATGGAGAATTTCAAAACCAATCTCCTCTTCTTTTCAACATTTGTTTGAGGTTGGGGGCTAGATGGAGGCTCATCTGAAGTGGGAGTTTCTTCACTTTTCAAAGACTTCATGTCTTCATTTTCCAACATCCCATCAGATTCTTCACTCTGAGCATAAGAACACTTTTGTGAATCGCTCTCTGATGAATAGTAATCTGAGTTAGCATCATCCTCTTCGCCAGTAGACAAATCAGAATGATGAAGGAAAGTATTATTTGCATGGCGTGTGGCGACCCGTTGAGGTCTCAACGATTTTGGTTTTGCAAAATTTATCTTAGTAGTCTTTCGGCCATTCCTAGATTTTCCGATTCTTTTAGTTTTTGATAACCTCACTTCCTTGTCCACTATTCTCTTCTTCATGCGCTTCCCTGAAGAGGTCACACGCTCAATCTGAAAGCCAATGAAAATATTTCACAGACATGCCAAGGGTAGATAAGTAACATGAATGTTAATACTTACTTCTGCAATTGACTTTTTCCTTTTTGATCTGCGATTCTGGCATTGTCTAATCTTCTCATCTTCACTACAGTCTGGATCACTTGAGTTGTCACCTAAATGCCCCTTCTCTTCACTGGAATAATCCTCATTGACAATGTACTCAGAATCAGTATCATCATTTAACACATCATTTTCTGGTTCCCAGAGCATAGCATCCAAAAATTCTGGCACAGGTTCAGCCACAATGTCCAAATCAGCCAAGGGCAATATTTGGTATTCTTGGCTTAAACCAACATCAGTCCCAATAGCCAATTTTATGGAAGTGGGGCGCCATTCAAAGCCTAGAGCTCCAAGCCGGCGCCGTTGGTACATACTCTGATACGGTTCTGGATATGGAATCATACCTAAAATTGATCATTTTAAAGAGTTAATTGACTATTAAGAGAGCATCGTTACGAAGGGAACATAATAGATAGAGGATAAATGCTATACTTGAATCACAAAGAGGATCCTGCAAATTCCGTCGGTATGGAGCCAATTGAGTCTCCTGCATCAGGTATAACACATATCTGAATTAGCATTCTATAATACAACTCCAATATTTCTGCATTCTTGATCACATCAAGTTCCCCTGGTCCAAAAGAAGTGTGAGTCCCTCCCAACCAAAATAACATGCATGTATGGTAACCCAAAGCTTGGAACATAATTAAAACAATCTTGCTGATAACCTAAATTGAACATTATTTCTGGAATCAAGGGTATCTGATGTTGCATAAAAGGGGAAGAATGAACCACTATTGTAGGTGAAGGGTAGTCACCTGATCAATAACATTCTGATGAGTATCCCGGATAAGGGGGCGATAATCCCCAAGAAAGAACTGTTTAAATCAAAAGAAAAAGGAGCATGAAATGCTTGTTCAAACCTCAAAAACACAAGTAAAATAATCATCGAGGCACTTTAATCCCAATTACATTGTTGTCGGTGGCATAAAATTTGTATTGACAACTAATGGTCTGAAACTGCTTAACACAAATACACGATGAATATATGCAAAAAGCAACCTTCTTTAGAAGGAAAAATGACATGAAGATCCAAAACTGCCATAATCAAGGTTCTTTTCACTTGATGGGAAATATCAAGATATGGCGATAAGTTTGGATAGTTGTTAGGCTCATTCCCATTACAAGCGAAAGTGCCAAATACACACAACCGAAATATACCTGATCATATTTTGCATCCTTCTGGGACTCGCCTTGGCCTGTGTTTAGAAGGTATATTTGCCCAACGTCATCAGAAAGGACAATTGATGTTCCATCCCTATTTCAAAGGAAACAGAAACACCTTATCTCATTCATATTAAAACATCAGCATCATGCTGTCACTATATTCAAAAGTAGGAAGTAAATACTCCGTAGCCTACGGTATACCCTATTATCCATGGCTAAAGACTAACTATAGAAACAAGCGTTGCCCAATGTGGTATCTGAAGTGCATTTCCCAAAGGGACACTTTTAAAAATTGCCAAACCACTGCTATTACCATGTTTTATATATGATGTAATTACTTACTGCGAAAATTTTCCATCAACAAGCTTAAAACGTCCGATCTCGTATGTTCTGATAGGAGTACCCTCCCATATCTACAAGGGAAAAAGATGTTCCATAAAAAGGGAAGAGTGAATCGCAATACTGTGAAAATAGAAAAGTAGGTATTAATGAACCAGAAACTCACATCCCACAAAATTGTTTGCCCATCATAACCAGCACTCATTGCGATTCTAGGGTTGAAAGGATGAACATCCAATACATAAGTCTACCAGAAACACAATAGAAGCAGTAAGTGTCTAGAGAGAGAACAAAGAGACGAGTAGATGTTTCTAAAAATAGCCTATCTTAAGACGAGCTAATAAAGTTTTAAAATTTCCCTGGAAGGAATAACAAACACAACATTTAGTTTTTGGGGTGTCCCAAAATATGGCATCTAAGGAATGGCATATTGGCATCTAAGAAAATTTAACACACATTCAACATATGCCATTCAGCACTAGAAAACAAAAGTACTAGTTCAAAGAGAGTTGAAAACACTTTTATTAAACTACGTTCCATGTCGCAACTTGCAGTAAAGAGGGCCAAACCGCCAAACCATGGACAGGGTATCAATAATTAGATAGCAAAATCACTTTTATGCAATGAAAAACCATGAACAAATAAGCTAAGGACATAAAACCTGTCATATGTACGAGTAGATCATGTATTAAATTTATATGCTCTGAAAGGAAACTAAGCATCAGCTGAAACAGGCTTTGAAGCCAAACTAAATGCTCTAAAGATGTACTTTGGAAGGAAAGAAAACGGCAAATTAGATTCTTCAAAATTCATCACTTACAGATTGAGTGTGACCAGTCAAGGAGTGCACTAAACTACCATCACTAGCATTCCAAACACAAATTCTGCAATCTGCAGGTTCACATCATCAATACTAAACTTTCAAAAAGCAAAAAACGATCCATTATAATCTAAAACAGTCACTTTTTACTCCACATAGCGCATCACTGGACCAAGTTTCCATAGACTTTGAGATCAAAAGAGCTAACAAATATTGTGTATTTATCAATGAAACAAATACCATTAAATTCTGCCAATCCAATTGGTTAGAATGACGCCATTACCCTACCTTATAATTGCCTGAGGTTACAAAAAAACCACCACCTTAATTCTTATATTTGATGGCGTCAATGGCGTGAAACTTATTGTGTCAATTAAATGTCTAAGATCAACAATATAATTCATGCAAAAAAATGAAGCAAAACAGAAACACATACAAAAGAAGCATTCTAACTGAACCAAATGGAAAGTACCCATTATGGCAGCAAGAACAAAACGATTGTCTAGACTCCAGACTATCATATTGACCCCACGAGGAGTTGGAAGTAGTCTCTGTCGTGGCCCTCCTCGTGGAGGTTGTGGTGGCATTGGAGGGGGAGGAACTTTAAGATGGTAAGCCTTCGCCCAACGTCCTGCCTTTACCTAATGGGTAGGGAAGTTGTCAAAAAGATGCTGAAAAAGTAGTCATTGCATTTCGGGGGTGGGGGTGCTTTCTATAACCAAGCCTATTTAGCAAAAAGAAAAATCAAATGTCGATGCAATGAGTGATAAGCTTAAAGCTTCAACTAAAATTTGGTGGATACACATTTGCTACTATTTTGTTATATTGATTTTCAACATTCCCCTCATGAGTGGCATGTCTTTTTACTTTTCCTCTTGGGAAGCGCAGTAAATATTTTAATGATAGAGCATGCAATATTTGAACAAATGATCTTTCATCTACTGTGCAACCATATTTATGTGTACAAAGTACACTGCCTCAACTAAATGTTCAATTCCTAGCTAACCTACACAGTTATTATTTTATATATTATATATGTAAGCTCGTGACTATCACAATATGAATTCTGTAGATAATGGGAAGTGCCGCGACTAACTTACAGGGGACTTGCGTGATTTAGGAATCCAAATGATTGCACTGCCATCTCGAGAACAAGTAACTATGTTGTCATGACTAAACCTGTAAGAGAAGTATATATTAGTCTAACATACCTATGCACCATAAAAAATTGCAACCATATTATACAGATCCATAAATGTGTCCCCACATACCAAGAATTTCTAAATTTCGGAATATTGTCCTCCAAAAGAACATCAGGAGTCGAACATCGAGGAGTAGCCACCGTACAGCCACTGCATAATAACAGCACATATGAGATAATGAGCCACCAATTCATGGGAAGAAGGTCTTGCTACCAACCTGAACTGCACATAATTTACATCCTGCTCATGTCCAGATAATATGTCTATCTCATGACTTGGTTGATCTGGCTCATCCACATTGGGCTTAGGAGCACCCCAAACCTGTGCAAAGAGCATTTTCAGGACTTCCCTTTAAAACGATTATATTCTAAAGATACCTATATAAATATCATGAAGGCATTTAATCACTCCTAAGTTCTGTGGACACAATGAATAACATGTGCCTGTAAGGGATACACTTGATTGACATCTTTGTCTTTTACCATAAGGCACAAATGTTGGTATGTCAATGTAAATATATATAGGGGAGGGTTCAAGTGAGAACCCATCTTTGTCTTTTACCATAAGGCACAAATGTTGGTATGTCAATCATTGGTTAACATACACATGGTGTCTTTTGTAATTATTCAAAACTCAAACGGTGTCTTTACAAAAAAGCCACCATGTTAATTCTAGCCACTTATTAGAAATATCAAAGGGAGAGATTAAAGTTCTCATTCATAAATGTGTTCTCATTTTAGAAGGGTTAAGAACCCTTGCATATACACACACACACGCACATACATAAATATAATAGATGTGTGTGTGTATTTATACGTGTGTGTATTTATATATGTGTATACATATACATGTTCACAAACACACACAAAAATATATATGCACCATACCCTTGCATGCCTATCAGAGCTCCCAGTGACAAATACAGTTCCATTAGCATTGTACGCACAACACAGTATTTGATGGAGCTCCAAAGAATTAGTTGATAAAGAAATGTTGGTTGAGCGGGGAACACCATTAATTCCTACAATAAAATGAGATTCAATATAAACAAGTCTGACAGCACTGAAAATTATGATCCAACAATTAACCAATTTCTTCTGACCAGAGATAACATCTGTTTGCCTTGGCAGGTATACACGGGGAGTACACTGTGAGTACCTTGCGTCCCAAACCCGACATGTTCCATCATCAGATGACCTACACATGAGATGAATCACTACCATCAATATGTGCTGTTTGCATTGTCCTAAAATTCATACTATCCATTAGGGGTAGTTTTCTTATGTGATACGATTAGAAGTAGATCTTGTGAGATTGAAGCTCACTTCTGTCTATACAATAATATATGTAGTATAAATGTATAATATGGGATGGGAAAGAAGCAAGATGCTTCTAATACATCAAATGACATATAAAAAAAGATAAATATGATAGAAAATAATCTCACGACAAAAGCTGATAAACAGAGCTCGGCCGTGGGCTGAATGCTATGGCAGTAACTGCTCCTGTGTGTCCACGCAAAACTGAAATGGGCATCCCATCTGGTAAGCGCCACTGGAATGAACAATGTCACATTATTTACCATTCAACATAAGAGAGCCGACCAGTTTATTTCTTTTTAAGATAAAGACACAACATGAGACTGCGAAGCATGAGGCAGATCCCTACTTTCTATTCTAAAACTAAACCTTGGAACCAATTATTCTTTTAATCTTTAAAATCTTGGTAGTGTCCTTGCATTCACTCTCAGTTTAAAGTACTGAACTAGCAATTTGGCAACCGCCCCGGTACAGAAAGGGAATAGAAAAAGGTGTCTTTAATGGTTTTGTTGTCAAATTTAATGTGACTGAATTCATCCAATTTTTATAGTAAGAAGATTAATATCGTCTTAGGCAACTTGTGGAGAAGTATAAAAATACGAACACAGATCTATATTTGGTGTTCATTCACTTCATTCATTTAGAAAAGGCGTATGATAGGGTATCTCGATAAGTCCTTTAGTTGGTCTTAACTAGAAAACGCATATTACTTAAGTATATCAACATCATGGATATGTATGAGGATTGTACTACAAGTATTCGTACTAGTGTAGGGAGGATCGCACAGTTCGCTATTACTATCGGAGTGCACCAAGGATCGGCTTTGAGTCATTTTCTATTTGCTATAGTCATGGATGAACCATAGTTATTACGGCGTCGCTGCATCGTTTCCATGTCGTCGCCTTGGCGTTGCGGCAATGCTGCAGAAACGACTTTTACATATCTTTATACTGATGATGAAATTGGATATACTGTGCTAATGGAGTGAGTATTCTTTGTGATTTTATGATTTTAATGCGATTTATTGTTATCTTACTACTGGAAGTAGGCTAGTGCACCGTTGAACATATTTCTAAATATCTGATTCTCATTATATTATCGAGTAGACCTGATACATACGCACAGCTGGATGTACCACAGCATCTGTTTGGTAATTCTTATGTCTACCTTCAAGGTAATGAAATTATGTATTTATTTGACTTGAACATATATTTCAACATTCTCCTATGTACTCCTTCCGTCCTGCAATTAAGTTCTCATTTTCCTTTTCTGGGTGTCCCAAAATCAACTTCATACTTCTCTTTTTGGTAATATTTGAGTCGTAAAATATCATTTTACCCCTAAGGAAAGTGCATCATTAATTTTCTCTATCATACATGAACTCACGAAGTCAATTCATGAAGATATATTGTGTTGCATGATGTTTGTCGATGATATTGTGTTAATTGATGAGACAAGTTTAGGTGTTTAAGTGAAATGAAATTGGTAGTGTGATGATAAGCTCTGGCATACAAGGGCTTCAGGAGGAGTCGAAGCAATCCTGAGTATATGGAGTGCAAGTTTAAAGGAAGTAAAAGAAATGGTGATCGTGGAAATACCTTAGTTGATAAGGAGATATCGGTCAATGATATATCCCATAGACGGAATGTGAACTAGATGAAGATGTATCCCATAGAATCACAATAGGGTGGATGAAATGCAAGAATGCATCAAGATTTCTATGTGATTGAGGTATGCCGACTACACCGAAAAGTAAGTTTAATCGAACAGTAATTAGGTTAGCATTATTGTATGGCGTAGAGTATTGGGAGGTGAAACAATGTCACATTCAAAAGTTGAGAGTTGAGGTGCGCATGTTGCGTTAGTTGTGCGAACATACTAGAAAAGCCAGTTTGAGGAATGAAAACAGGCAAAATGTGGGACTAGCACCTATTGAAGATAAAATGAGAGAGTCTCGATTGTGGTGGTTTGGCCATGTGTGTAGAAGACCGGACGATGCACCTGCTAGACAAATTGAGATGTAGGGAGAAAAGGCATGAAGGATAAGGAGAGGGCGACCCAAACAGACGTGGACTCTAGTGGTAGAAATGATATAGTACTTCTTGGGTTAAATGAGAGTATGACTATTGAGAGAGCGAAGTGAAGAGAGAGTATACGTGTGAAGGATTGATCTCTTTTTACCTTTTATAACTCTACTTTCATATGTCGAATATGTTACCTGACCTTTAACTCTTTTGGGACTAAGGCTTGGATGTTATTGTTGAAAAATTATATAATTTGATTTCCCGTCCTGGAAAGGTCAACTCGGTTTGAAAATTAGATAATATACGCCCTATTCAAATTTTCAAGGGTTTCAGTTTAGACCAAATTTATAGTTGAACAGCAACAGTGACCAACTACTATAGTCTAGCATTTAAAGCTGATATTGTTTATAATATTTTGAAGGTTGCAAAAAAATGGAGGGGTCATAAACTATTTACATACATGGGAAGAGAATCTCTCTATTCAATGGGAGAATATTCTTACAGCACGTATTGTGTAGTCATTTGATGAGGACGCCACTAGAGCATTGTTTGAACTGACAGCTAAATCAGTGATGTCACCCTTTTAGCAATAAGAGACAACAAAGTGTAAAAAAGTTAAGCATAAAGACGAAAGCAGATATAATAAAAATTAAATCAAGTATTTTATTCATAGAGATGGCAAGGTAATCCCATTTTTTAACTTACTTCATGTCCACGGCAACTAGCCAGGCAAAATGCAGTTTCCATAGACCAAATCTTGACCAGGCGATCATCTGACCCAGTTATCACATATCTACCCGAGCGATCAAATATAGCTTCATAATAAGAGAAAAGAAAGTGCAAAGGATTTTCGCTGGTTAAGAATGTCAACATTGTAATGAAATATCAAACTTCATGTTTATAATACACTTAAAAGCTACCATAAATTGTACTCCATAAACTGTACTCCATAATAGAATAAGAACAATGCAGTAAAGCAACATAAAGTTGGAAAAGTAACATAAATATTACCTCTAAACTTTTGGAAGACAAAAATATGACAAGTTTTTTTTAAAGTGACTAACTCGTGTTTAATTAATTAAAATTTCCTCTCCTTTTAATCCTTACTCAACTGCCCCCAATCCCACCCCTGCCCTACTTCGTTTCCGGCAACCACTACCAGCGAGGGGTGATGGAAACTGCTGCCAGAAAGTTCGCCAGAAAAGTCAAGGGCGGAGGTGGGTATAGGGGTAGGAGGCCTTACCCCCACCCCAAATTTTTTAATAGTACTAGTATTCAATAAGAAATAATCAGAAAAAATTGGGTCAGAACTACCTGATAGAAGCCTCCATTTGAGATGCTGCCAGGTAGAAATTTTTGATAAAATTTTGTCAGCATGTTTTTCATGAAGTGTAGATTATGTCCACCAAATTCAGTTTAAAATTCAATAGGGAAGTCAATTAAATAACTTATTGAAAAGCACTGCATTTTTTATATATATTTTGGCACAGTGTTTTTCAATAATCTATTTAATTGACTTTCTGATTAAATTTTAAACTGAAATTTGGTGTAAATAATAGACATATCATGAAGAACACTCTCACAAAATGTCATCAAAAAAATCCATCCTGAAGCACCTCAAACATAGGCGGCCGGACGGCGGATGGTGGATCCTATCAAGTAGTTTTGACAGGATCATTCCTCGTGAAATAATTACATATGTATGATTAAAAATAGGACAAAATATGTTTTATTCCTCAAATATATCTTATTTAGTCATATTAAAATAAGTTGATTAAAGTTTGCCAAAATAGGAGTGAATAAGTCCTATTTTGAGAATAAAAGAATGATAATCCTATTTATGAACTTTACTTTTCTTTTAATCCTATTTAAGGAATTTTCTCTTTATTGTTTGTGTTCCTTGTTGGCCCCCTATGACTAAATCCTGGCTCCGCCTCTGACAAAAGTTCGCCAGAAAGTTTTTCTATTTTCCGTTTTTTATTTGCCGGAAAAAGTCTCCAGAAAAAATTTCGACAGTCATAGTGACATGTTCCACAGTGACACCGACATTGACATAAAAAAAGCAGACATAGTAAACTGGTAGTGACATTCATAGTTTTCCAATTTTATAACCTTGTTGGTCACATTTTTGCCCATATGTAAAATTAGTCACTTTCTGGAATTCCGCTTCAATATTGTACGAGGTACTACCTCCGTCCCGCTATGATTGTCTCATTTTACCTTATCGGTCTGTCCCACTAAGATTGTCTCATACCAAATTTGGTAAACTTTGTGTGGCTCTAAATCATTCTTACTTTATTCTTACTTTATCAATTCAATATCAACCACATAAACCACTTTTTATTAATTTGTGTGCCACTCTTCTTGTCCCATTGTTAGCGGGACGGAGGGAGTAATATTTAAGGAAGCCCCTAAAAATTGAACAGTGGTTTTCGACTGCACTTGGACAAAATGAGACTGATGACAAAATTGAACAGCAAAGGAGTGATGAAGTCACACCGCAATATACAGCATCCCTGTGTCCTCTTAATCTCTTGATGTTTTGCATCTTTTGCACCATCGTGGATGGTTTGGCAATGGCATAACTTGCAAAACGAATAGATGGAGCACGGTGATGTTTTGCAAAACCACCTCCTATTTCCCTCAAGCCTAGACCATGCACTTGATCAGCATGCAGGTGTGGCCAGCGTAGGTATGAAGGAGGATGTTTTCCTTGCTTGTTCACTGTAAGTTTATCACCTGACATGTATTGCCAGCTATAAATATAGTGATTTAAGCAGTGACTGGATACGATAAGTATGTGAGAAGCTAGTACGGACTTCTCTTTTACATGTACCAAGATGATAGTAAATATGTAAAATCTATGTAAAATAAAAAATTAAAAATAAAAAAACAAATCTGTAAAAAAAATATACATCAGAGATGCTGGTTCTTTCAAGTAACAGGATAATATAGAATACGAATTAAAATGATAACATTACCTACCAGATAAAAGGGCAAACGGTCCTGTTCCAAGTAGAGTTGGAACATCAGCAGCACTAGGAGTATTTCTCCCAGTAAGATGTAAAGGAGGAGGTGAAGTTATTATTAGTTGCTTAAGCAGTTTTACCAAATGGTCCTTTTGAATGTGTGAATACCTAAAACAGAAAAGTTGAGATCGTAAACATATTGCAATTAGTCAAGCTGATTTATATGGTCATATAAATCAATGGACAATTCATATATGTATCTCCCGTTGCAGACAATAGGGTCATAAAATTGTTATCAATGGACAATTGATCCCCAACATAAAAAACTGTAGATACAGCAACCAGGGAAATAAATGACTTGTAAACAACAGATCTTCTAGAATTATTCGAACTGAGTATACTCAGTGTAACTTAATTGCTAACTAATCAACAGAGTTAACAAAACTGCAGTAATATGTTTCTAAACTTCAGCATATGCACAATTTCCATCGCATTACGAGAGATGTAACCAATGAAAAACAAAGCAAGCAAATAGACATGCATACAATCATATGTTTCATGAGCATGCATGGAACATACAAGCAAATAACAAGTACCACAAACAAGCATGAAAGGGTAAAATCAAAGGACAATGAAGTCTATGAGTTTTCCTGAATTTGATGATTAAATATTGACCATACCGTTGGGCAAGGCTATCATAATTTAAAGGGAAAGATGACCCATCAGTCTCGCCACATTCTTTGCTTCGTGAATACCAAGCATGGTATCTCCTGGGTAGAAGCTCGTGTTTCACAAATTCATCGTGCAATATCCCCAAAGCATTCTGGCACGGCCCAGATGATAAGAAATGCATGATTAGAAAATATATTTCTCTACAATCAATGTCAATGTCCTCTGTATTGGCAAGCTCAGAAACTCTGTCATGTTCTTCAAATTGTGTTTTTGTATGCATCTGATTCCGAAAACTTGGTGCCGTATTTAAAGATAGAGCCCCGGTACTTGATGAACATTTACCATAATCCATCCTTTAACTTATGATCCAAGGCAACTGCTAATATCCCTTAGCATATGCATCTGAAATATCACTATCATGTAAATAAATACAGAACAATTATTAAGATTTGTCTTCAAGAAAACTAACAGCTAATATTAAGTCTTTTCTCATTTAAAAAAAAGAGTCTAGGTTTTATAAGAAATTAAGGGATAAGAAAAAGGATAGCCAAAATATGCAATCAGATTTCCAACTATTCTCTGACTTTCTTCCCCTTCTTCCAATATACTTGAATGCACAAATATTGAGCAAAGGCCTGGAGAACTTAATTTGTTTACTAGCTTTGTTTGAAAAAGTAGCAAAAACTAAGTCAACAACAGTAAAGATAGGAAAAAGTATGAAGCAATTAGGCAAGTCCATATTCACACAATAAAAAGACACTTAACTTAGAATTGAGCTTGCTTAATCTCAAAATGAAAATGAGAAATGAGTTTGCAAAAGAAAACAAGCCAGAAGCCTTAAATCTACATCATTATTATTAGCGTTCTTTATGTCCAATCCTCTAAGGGGGTGTTTGGAACTGCTTCTGCTTCTTTTTTAAAGTAGAAGCAGAATCAGAATCAATTTTCAGAAGCTGGTACCCCCAGCTTCTAAAAAACTGATTCTGAGAGTAAATTAGAGCACCAGAAGTGCTTCTGGAATTTCACCCAAACACTCCAGCTTCTGCTCCCTGAAGGAGCAGAATCAGTTTTGAGAATCAGATCCAAACACCCCCTAAGAATCAACAAAAACCAAGAGTCTGAAAGTGAGTCAACGATGTGCAGGCATTTAAATACTCCATCTCCTATTCCAATGTCAATTAACTCATGGAAAATAAAGTATTATAATTCCATCCCACATATGTTAACTTGTAAAAACTCACATCGCTAGAAAATAAGCATCCCTCTTCTGTTGACTGGAACAAAAAATCATACTGAATCTGGAATCAAAATCCTTTGCCATGTGTAGTAATATTTAAACGGCAAAGCTGGATCAACAAAACCCAAATATTGTATAAAAACGCATACAAATAGAACACAAATGAACAAAGCTGGCAGGAGATCTATTGCAGGATAGCTCAAGTGACTAAATTCAGACATGAAAGAACGCAATCCAGATAAAAGATGTGAAATTTCCCATCATCAGCTGATCTTCCAATGTTATTTTGATTCACAATAAAAAGAATTTAGTTGTTGCTAGATCGGAGCAGTGAATGATATACAAGTCAAATTGTATTGCCGTTAAAGGAAGAAAAAAAAAGAAGATGAGCAGATCACTGAGCTTACAGCGATGGTTCCAGCAATGAGAAAGAAGGTAAGTCAGGATTCCAAATAGAGCTGGTTTTGCACTTTTAGCTTTCGGGTCGGACTCGAAGGTCACGGGTGGCGCGGTAAGGTCAGAAAGACCGCCGCCGGCAGGAGGACGATGGCTCTGCTGATGTGGCGAAGCCTGACTTTGTGAGTAGTCCGGGCCGTACCGGAAATAGGAACCGCGGGGCCTTCCGTGGCATGGCGATGTGTTTTTTCGAATTTCTTTTTTGTTTTTTTTTTTAATAAATTGGACTGAAAAAATAAAAGAAATAAAAATGTTTGGTCGATGAACGATTCTGCATCCTACGGCCTGAGTCGACCAAATTAGGGGTGAGCAAAAATACCGGAAAATCGGTACACCACACTTACCGTACCGAATAGGGGTGGGCATAAAACCCGAATCGAACCGGTACAGAATCATCCTGTAATGGTACTGAATCGAATATCGGGTATTTAAACGGTTCTATAGATTTTTATCCCATAGCGAAACCGAAAAATACCGGACCGAACCGTTCGTAAATAATGCATTTGATTTTTTTTATATTTTTTCTATATCAATAGATCTAGACCAACAATTTTATACCCTAAGTATGTATTCATGTGTCCCAAAGATATCTAAAATGTGCTGTTTATATATATATATATATATATATATATATATATATATATATATATATATATATATATATATATATATATATATATATATATATATATATTGCTAGGTTTTCTTTTTAGATAATTTATGTTATATTTTGGTATGTATTGAAAGAATATTAAAATTTTAGAAATCATTAATGATTATTTATTTTTAGTAATGTAGTGTACATGACTTTTTGTTGTATCATGTTTGTGCATTTTTTACAACTTAATTAATATGGTTTAAATCTTAGCTCTCAAGGTTCAACTATAAATTAAATTAGAACTACGGAGTAATATTTAACCTAGAACGAAGAAGAACGTTGAAGATTTCTATTATATTCAACAATTTGATGATATTCATTTTTATATTTTCACATGAACTTAGTAAATTAAAAATGATATTTATCTCGTGCGTCATCGTTTTGCTATACTTTTTCTTATTTGTGTTGCACTATTTGTGTATTTGTGAATTTTAGTATTAGGTATGCAATATCTTGTATTTATTTCAACATTTCATGTGAGTTGGTTGGTGTGATGATATCTACTAATTGCAAGATTTGTTCAAAATATCAGCATGTGTTTGGCATTGTACCGTTCCAAAACGACATGGTACCGAACGGTTCTATCCTTGGAACCGGACCGTACCGGACCGTTAAAAACCTCACGGATACATTACGGTTTTTACCAATTTACCGGACCGTTCCGGACCGCGCCCACCCCTAGTACCGAAAAATACCGAAAAATACCAGAATATTAGTATACCGTCATTTTCGGTACGGTATCATACCGTATCGATTTATTTCGATACGGTAACGGTAAATGTTTTCAAATACCGCGGTATACCAGTATAATACCGTACCGACTCTCTACCCAACAATTATTACTTTTAATTCTAGAGTATTGTAAAACTCCATTACAATTATGAAGCCCAAAATTAATACTTACATTGGTTACAAATCTCCAATGACTAATTAGTAATGTACTAATGTCCAAAAACAAAATCATCTTGTTCCAAGAGCTTGCGAGTTGCGATGACTGAGTCGCTGAGTAGCTGATGAGTGGAAAGAGGTACACTTATGTGACAGGTGTATCTACATAGGGATTCCACGAGTCGAGGCACACAACTTTGTCCGAAAATCTTATTCATTTTTTTAAAAAAAATATAAAAATGACTAATTGCACAATATCATACTACCTCCATCCCAAAATGATTATTCAAATCCAAAACTTTGTTGATTAATATATATTTATTGGAAATTATTTATAATATAAAAATTATATTAAAATGTTCTTTGTTAAAAGTACTTTCATAAAAGTATAAAATTTATAACTTTCATAATATTATACTCCGTACTAATCAAAACCATGATCCAAATTTTGAGATTTGGCTAAACATTTTGGGACAGAGGTAGTATTAGGAATAAATGATTTTATATCCATGTTGTTTGAATAATTTTATTTATTATTGTTAGAGATCACTATTGATTTAATTATATCTATATCGTTCAAGTTATTTTAGGAGAATGTGTTGTTTTTTAATACGTGGCATGTTGAACTGCTTAAATATACTAGTAATAATTATTGTTCAATATTGAGTATGGCATCAATAGATTATTAATTATATTTGTAAAATTTTAATAATGAAATAAATATGTCACTAGTAACACCGATTTAGCATATTTCGTTAGTCTGTGATAATTTGTTGTATTGGGAGACATGCATGGTAATTTACCGATACCGTACCGTTACCGAACCGAAACTTCGGTATACCGAAATGCGGTATACCGAAACTTCTGTAAGGTAACGGTATATAAATTTTGCATACCGAAAGTTTTGGTACGGTAAAGGTATGAGAAAAAATATTCGGTATACCGTACCGACGAACCACCCCTAGCCCAAATACAGCCACCGGCGCTACATGTGTTTTTGGGTCCAAATTAAATACAGTACGAGTCGAACAACACTTGCAAATTGCAAATCCTAATTTTGGATGTTTTTAAGTGTTTTAGACTAGAATTAAATTGATTAGATCATACCAAGCTTTTACAATTATAAAATAGACAGTGAACAGTCTATTGTTAAGAGCATAACACTATGGCTATGTTTGGCAGACATAAGTCTCTACCTTCTAGCTTTTGTACTGTTCAAAAAGTCTCTAAAAGCTTCTAGTTATGTGTTTGGCATGACAATTTTTAAGAGCTTTTCAAAAATTAAAAGATCTTTTTTGAGATGCTACAGGGAGTAGCATCTGAAAAAAGCCCGTGACTTTTAGTATTAATTAGTCCTAACAGCTTGTATACCAAACCGAACTAAATCAAACAGTCAGCTTTTTACCTAATAGTTACCACCTTTTGTCTTTAAGATTTTTTCAGTCACTAAAAGCTAACAGTTATTAAAAAGCTAACAAAAGTATCTTTTCAGCTAGTTGTGCCAAACATACCCTATGTTTGACAGGCATAAGTCTCTACCTTCTAGCTTTTGTACTGTTCAAAAAATTTCTAATAACTTCTAGTTATATGTTCGGCATGACAATTTTTAAGAGCTTTTCAAAAATTAAAAGATCTTTTTTGAGATGCTACAAGGAGTAGCATCAGAAAAAGCCCGTGACTTTTAGTACTCTGTATTAATTAGTCATAACAGCTTGTATACCAAACCGAACTAAATCAAACAGTCAGCTTTTTACCAAACAGCTACCGCATTATCTCTTTTTATTTTCAGTCACTAAAAGCTAACAGTTATTAAAAAGCTCACAAAAGTATCTTTTCAGCTAGTTGTGCCAAACATACCCTAAACCAGACCAACTTAAACACATCATATCATACCAGACTAGACCTTAACCGCAGAGGAGTCTACTACGGCTATGTTTGGCGGGCATAAGTTCTTGCCTTCTAGTTGTATGTTTGGCACGCCAATTTTTAAGAGTTTTTATAAAAATAAAAGATTTTTTTTTAGATGTTACAGTTAGTAGCATCTCAGATAAGTCCGAAGCTTTTAACATTAATTAGTCCTAACAGCTTGTATACCAAACAGAACTAAATCAAACAGTTAGCTTTTTACAAAACAGCTACCATCCTTTCTTTTTAAGATGTTTTTAATCACTAAAAGCTAACAGGTACTAAAACGCTTAGAAAAATATCTTTTCAGCTAGTTGTACCAAACATACTCTACCTTCATGGCTATGGCTGAGGCGAAACAACTCTATGTGGAATTGCAGCTGTGGCACATCTACTTAGCCCTGAAAAATTTGTCATCTTCGAATAGAAGTCCCACGATAAATCTATCCACAACAGTAGCTCTTGGACTTGTAACTACAAGACGACCAGAAAGTGGATTCAATATTGCAAGAGATTTATCAACCGGAAGCTCGTCATTAGCTAATTCTGCTGATTTATGAAAAATATATATATAAAATATGTATAGTTAATAAAATAAAGAAAAAATTAACGAAAAAACTGCTAAAATGATCCTCTACAGTAACTTCACCCAATACAGCCAGAAAAGTAATTTCAACCTTATTTTTTTCTTATTACTATTGCAAGTTCAACGAGCGAAATCAAAAGTTATATGTTTTGTGAAAAAGTTGGTTGATAAGTCCAATAAGCGAAAAACAGGGTCACCAAACGGGCTCTTAATGTCGGTTTTTCAAATTATGAGTTTTTGTCACTTTTAGTCCTCCGATTATCATGTCACTAACACTTTTGGTACTCGACTTTGATTTTTTCCATTTGTAGTCTTCGACTTTATGCTAGAGACACTTTTGCTACCCGTTCTTCGACTTTCATAAAAGTGACATGTTTGGTCTTTCAACTATTATAGTAGTGACATTTTTAGTCCTCCACTAATTGTGTCAAAATCATAATAGAAGGACTAAAAGTGTCATTTTGATAATACTCAAGGGACTAAATGTGGGAAACTTTGAAGTCGAGGATTAAAAGTGCCTCTAGCACAACAGTCAAGGATTAAAAATGAAAAAATTAAAAGTCAAGTACCAAAAGTGTCACTGACACGATAGTCTGAGGACTGAATGTCACGCCCCAGACCGCATCTAGGCGCGTGTACAACCGCCGTATGACCAAGTGACGTCACACGCAAGTCAACGTGTCTTAATCATACAAGGCGTCCATGAACATAATATATCCATACTCAGTAGTAAACATACACAACAACATCACAGTTTAGATTAATTGAATAGCGGAAATATTCAACAATTAATCGTGGGCCACACATGGCCAAAACGTAGGCTCGCAAGGCCAAAACAATGTATTAATACAAAAGTATCCATGAGCATAGTTTATTTTTTGAAATAGTAGAGGGAGCACGAACCACGTCTTCCTCTGGATTCTCTTCACTCGTGCAAAGGTGTAGATGACAAGCCTTAACTTCAACCTGAAATGGTGCCCCCCCCCCCCCCCCCCCCGAAGGGGTCAGTACAAGTACCGAGCGAGTAGCAGGCTAAATATAGAATAACTAGCGTTTCAAGTATGAGACCCAAACATAGGGTGATACTTATGTAAATAGTCTTTTCCCTCCAAGTTAAGAAATACTTAGTAGTATATATACACTTGGAAAATACTCGATCCGTAGATCACCGTTTTATTTGGGAAAATATTAATAGTCAATATCCTTGACTAAAAACCCCAACCCACACATATGCCTATG